ACTTACACAATGTTATATGCTAATTTTATCTCAATAAAGCTGGGTAGGGAGGAAGAAACCAGACCAAAACCTCTCTCTACCAAAACAAAAGGGTAGACTTCCTGGTAATGCAGGCCTGGGCACCTCTAGGTTATTTCCTAATTTGTCCCCTTTTGTTGTCTAGATACCAGAGGGGACATCCAGTTGGTTACAAATATCATCTTTGTGACTGGAAGCAAATCAATGGGCACGTTTTCTCCCACCAGGTCCTTGGACTTGTATGTTTAATTTTTTAAATCAAAGTATCACATGCCCTATGTATTAAAAGCAAAAAAAAAATGCTAAAAGGCTTATGAGGACAGAAAAATCCTCACTCCATTTCTCTCATCAGAGGTGGTGCTTTTGTTTTTTTTAAGAATCCAGTAACAAGGTTGTTAAAGTACATGTGTACAGCACTTTACAGTTGACAAAGTACTTTGACAAACATTATTTCATTTACATTTTTCATTTCATTCTCCTTATAGGAGACCTGTGATGCAAATGTTAGTCCATGTGACGCTGTTCCATAAGACCTTAAGCTATCTTTACTTTTTTCATTGTTTTTTCTTTTTGCTGCTCTGAATGGGTGAGTTCCACTGCCTTGTCTTTGAGTTGACTGATACTTTCTTCTGCTTTATCTAGTCTGCTAGTGAACCCATCTAGTGTATTTTTCAGTTCAATTATTATATTCTTTAGATCTGTGACTTCTATTTGGTACTTTCTTACATTTCCATCTCTTTGTTGAAGTGCTCACTGTGTTCATCCATTCTTCTCCCCAGTTTGGTGAGCATCTTTATAGACCATTATTTGAGCTCTTTATCGGGTAAATTATTTATCTCCATTTCATTAAGTTTTTTTTCCTGAGGTTGACTCTCTGTGTTGGTTTCTACATAGTAGATGAAACAGCCACTCCTCCCAGTGTTGAAGGAGTGGCCTCATGTAGGAGATGAACCTTGTCATTCAACCCTGCCTCAGCTCCTGGTGGTCTTTCAAACCTCTTGGCCTTGTCCAAGCAGTCTATTATATTTTTAATAGCTCCCAGTAGTTGAGGATGTGCCAAGACCTGTCAGTGTCCTAAAGGGGAGAATCTCAGCACATAGACTCAGGGTGACTGGAAGTGAGACCCTCAGGCATCAGTTTTTTAACTATGCAAATATGTACATTCCTGTGGGACCACAAGCATAAACCTTGCTGGCCACCAGAGCCAGGCAATCTGGAGGTGTCCCCTGAGCAGCAGTTGCAGAAATCAGGGCTCCAGATGAGTGTCAAAGCTCTTTTCTGGGTGATATAGGTGAGCTGGAGCAAGGGAGAGCGTCAAGATGGAGTCCACAGCTTATGTTCCTTGAGAGCAACTCCATAGGCTACTAATGTGTACCAATCCTGAAGCCTGCCTCTCAGGCTGAAGCTCCAGGATGAGCGAAGAGCCCTCCTTCACAAAAAGACTGGGGAGTGTGCCCCAGTCCACTGTCTGTGCAGTGCCCTAGGGGTGGTAGCCTGCCAAGAACTGTCCCTCCGATTGCCACAGTCCCATGAGACCCAGGAATACAAGCCACCCTGGCCACCAGAGCCATGCCATCAAGGGGTGTCCTCTGGTAGCATCCTCAAAACCCAGGGAACCAGAAAAGTACAGAGGCAACTACTTTTAACATGTTGAAATGTGTCTATTTTCGTTTTTTGATAATATGCTTATTGCTCTCTCTTTATTCATCAGTTTTACAAATTATTAACTTTTATTATACTAAACAAAGATTTTGCTCACAGCACCCACACCTACCTAGAGCCTCCCAATTTAGTTATATCCCAATTTTAAAAGATTTTATTTTTATACAATTTTTAAAGGTTACTTTCCACTTACCGTTATCACAAAATTGTTGGCTGTATTCCCCATGTTGTACAATACATCCTTGAGCCTATATTACACCCAATAGTTTGTACCTCCCACTGCCTCACCCCTATATTCCCCCCACCACTGGTAACCACTAGTTTGTTCTCTATATCTGTGAGTTGGCTTCTTTTTTGTTATATTCACTCATTTGTTGTATTTTTTAGATTCCACATATAAGTGATATCCTACGGTATTTTTCTTTCTCTATCTGACTTATTTCACATAGTGTAATGTCCTCCAAGTCCATCCATGTTGCTGCAAATGGCAAAATTTCATTCTTTTTTATGGATGAGTAGTATTCCATTGTATATATACACCACATCTTCTTTATCCCTTCATCTGCTGATGAACACTTAGGTAGTTTCCATGTCTTGGCTATTGTAAATAATGCCGCTATGAACATTGGGGTGCATGTATGTTTTCAAATTAGTGTTTTTGGGTTTTTTGGGGGGGAAGTTATATCCCAATGTTTGGTTAAGACAGGATTCAGGCTATATGTGATTATGGCTATGTAACCATTGCTCCTTGTTGGTCCAGTAAGATTGTTTCTTTTCTTGCCCAACTTTTTGTTTTTCATAGAATTGATAATTGCCTCATCTTACTAGCTTTGTTTTCCTTTCATTTGTGACAAAGCCTTCCCATATTTTCCCCTCAATGTAGTTTTTCACATGCTTACATCTGTCCTGATAATCTGTGCTGCATCTTTGTCTTGAAGCCATCTTCCCTGGAGCCCTCTATCCTCCTGTTCCAATACAGGCTGGTGGTATCAAGCTGGAAGCTACAAGGGAAAAGGTCTGGAGGCTCACAATTGTGTGCAGACTCATTTTTCAGTCCATTACCAAACCTCTGCCCTCTTCTATATCTTATATTCCCAACCCTAGAGCCTCCCTTGTTGGATTTATCCAGAGAATATATCTTCTGTCCTCCGTGGGAGTGGGAAGGGATAACTTGGAGGCTTACTTCTTCACATACAGACCTCGAGCCTATCCCTCTATTTCCAGCTCCTCACTGTCCTCAGTATCTGTCACCTTTAATTCCTAAACCTTTATTTTCATTTTGTGTTTCTTTCTTTGTTCTGTTTTTTTCTAATCTGCTTTCTTTCTGTCAGTATTTCCCACTGCTTTTCTTTTTTTTTTTTTGGCTGCATTGGGTCTTCATTGCTGCGCACGGGCTTTCTCTAGTTGAGGCGAGCTGGGGCTACTCTTCATTGCAGTGCGCGAGCTTCTCATTTGCAGTGGCTTCTCTTGTTGCAGAGCACAGGCTCTAGGTATGTGGGATTCAGTAGTTGTGGTGCATGGGCTCAGTAGTTGTGGCTCACGGGCTCTAGAGCGCAGGCTCAGTAGTTCTGGCATACAGGCTTAGTTGCTCTGTGGTATGTGGGATCTTCCCGGACCAGGGCTTGAACCCGTGTCCCCCACACTGGCAGGTGGATTCTTAACCACTGCGCCACCAGGGAAGTACCTCCCACTGCTTTTCTTTAACTTTAAATTATTTAAATGTTTAACCTTCATCTGTGGTCAGATATTTTCAGGTATAATATTATGTCTTAAGGTAGCAAATATTTTTTAAGAGTCTTAAAGGTTTTTTTGTCCTTTGGCCTGCTTCTCAGGGCTGTTTCTGGGAATCTATCCTAAATAATTCAAAACATGAAGAAAAATTTCTGTGAGAACCTATTCATTTTGGCATCATTTATAGTGGTGAAAAATCAGAAGCCACTTAGTTAACAGTAGCAGACATTACAGTACATTTGATAGATCTTATGTGGCTGTCAAAATCGATGACAAATGCAGCATAGAAAAATGTTTGAAAGTTTATGAAAAGAAGAAGTGGGATATAGATTTGAATGCATATTATTAGAGTGTTATGCATTTTTATATGAACAAATGGAAGGGGGTGTTGTGTGGCATGATGCACTGATTCACTGAAGAGATGGATAACAGCTGTCCATGTGCCTGACTCTGTTCTAGTGGTTGCTTTAGTTACGAGTGGTGAATCTGACATAATCTCTTCTTTCACAGAGTTTACAGTCTAGCAGAGAATTATTTTCCAAACTTCTATAATGTGTCTATTCAATTTTTACAATTAAAGAGGTAGAGGAAAAGCAGGGATTGACTATTTCAGGTGTCAAATTTTGGCAAACAACATGAAAGATCTGAGAATGGGTGCCTGGTAGGCCTGGTAATTGTAGCTGTATCAATAGTTCGCTCCTGAAATGACAAAGATGGCATCTGACTGTCCTGTGGCTGGCTGTCTAGACCTATTTGGATCTGTTCTTGCCTTCATTCTTTGATTCAGTAGATTATCCAGCTGTATGGCCTCTGTGACTTTTATGATCAGAAACAACCTAGAATACTTATAATTGTATAAAATTGATCAAAATGACAGTATTTCACATCCTACCATTTGTGCCAGTGTGTTTGTTGCCTGTTTTAAACTGCTAGAGGACAGGGATCTTCTCTTATGAGTAATTTTATGTAACACCCAACACAATCATGTGTATTATGGAACTCAGAGAAATAGCCTTTGGTGTTATTGAGAGTGAAATATTGTTCATTTCCCTTAAACCTATAATCCCTGCATTTTAGAATGCCACAGGTGAGACATAAAACATTGAAGAAGAAAAAAAGCTAAAGGCTAAACTACTAGCTTGTCCTTTTCTTTCCTTTTGAAAATCACAGTGATAGTGTTTTTGTGTTTTTTTTTTTTTTTACTTAAGGTAAATTTAAACCTGTTTTCCCTAAGAATCAGTGAGTGCCTATTGTTTACTTTAAAGATGAGGCTGTTAAATATTTTTCACATGCCTTTCTTTGTTGTTGTTGTTGTTGTTGTTTTGCAGTACGCGGGCCTCTCACCGTTGTGGCCTCTCCCGTTGTGGAGCACAGGCTCCGGACGCACAGGCTCAGTGGCCGTGGCTCACGGGCCCAGCCGCTCCGCGGCATGTGGGATTTTCCCGAACTGGGGCACGAACCCGTGTCCCCTGCATCGGCAGGCGGACTCTCAACCACTGCACCACCAGGGAAGCCCTCACATGCCTTTCTTGATCCTCAGATCCCCTTCCCTAGTTCTTTCTTATGTGTGTCTGGATGGTCTGTTGTAGGTGGCCACAAATAGCCGAGTTTACTTATTTGACATTTTCCTTCTGGGAAGTCGTGTTTTCAGCAATGGACTTCAGATGGTATTAGAAGACAAGAGAATTTTGAAGGTGAGTGTGTAAGCTGATTCATCTGCTAGTAAGAATAACAGCCAGGTTCTAATAACTCTTTCTCTGTCTTCTGATTCCTTAGGTTATCCATGATTGTCGTTGGCTTTCTGATTGCCTCTCTCGTCAGTATGGAATTTTGCTGAATAATGTCTTTGACACCCAGGTACAGGCAGGGAAACACTGGAATCAATGCAGTGTATATAGCTCCTGTAGAAAATAGGCCTTGTCTGATGAGTGATTGAAAGTCTTCTTGTGTGTGCCTCATTCCTGCCCACTTCTCATGTAAGATGTTTGTACAATATGTGAGAACATTTGGTGCACTGAAGAAGTACTGGAGAAAAGTTACTTGTAATTATTTAGGGTTTTTTCCCTTCATTTTGCTCCAGAAATGTTCAAATAAGAAGCAAGCTCCATACTCTGTAGCATTCAGAAACTCAAACAATTTTGGGGTCATTTGGAAATCTGACATGGATTCTTACTGTGAGGTGGACAGTCAGTCACATCTATGCCTTTACCACATATGTATCAGTTAAGGCTGATGGCTAATTGGCATCTAGCTCAGGGATGCAGGTTGTCCTAGATGTTCCCCCAAAGTCTATACTGGCCCCAGATAGCCTGAAGATAAGCGGTTTTTCTCTGATCTAAAGGACCTAGAGAAATGAGAAATTCCCAGATTATACTAGATCTGGGTTTCTGGTTTGGCTGTGAGAGCCATAAACCCACTAGTTTTCATTATGTATTCTTTAAGTTCTTCTAGTCTTCTAGGTTAATGCCATGAAAGGGAGATCTTGAATATATAAACCTAGAGCCTTTGGAGAGGGGTTAAAATAATGAGTTAGCCAATTATTTTTTAACAGAAATTCCTAAAAGTTCAACTTTATGTTATTGTATGTGGTTTAAGTTTGCTCTTTATGTATCTGCTTGTAATGAACTTTGTGCCACTTCTCTTGTTTACATGTTCCTTTGGGTCTTCTTTCAAGAGCATTCACTATATAGAGATTGCTTCTATGCTTACTCCAAAATGTAACACAGTTGCTCATTGTTCCCTTGAGGCCATCAGGCTTCTTGATTAGACCTCATATGTATTGTCTAATGAAGACATTGGCATATCTTTCCATATTTTTCTTTTCAGATTTTCATAGTACAAGAAGCAGGAATTCAGAATTATTTCAATTTGTTTTCCTTTAACACAGTGTATTAGTTTCCTATTGCTGTTGTAACTAATCACCACAAATTTTGTGGCTTAAAACATAAATTTAGGGCTTCCCTGGTGGCGCAGTGGTTGAGAGTCCGCCTGCCGAAGCAGGGGACACAGGTTCGTGCCCCGGTCTGGGAAGATCCCACATGCCGCGGAGCAGCTGGGCCTGTGAGCCATGGCCGCTGAGCCTGCGCGTCCGGAGCCTGTGCTCCGCAACAGGAGAGGCCACAACAGTGAGAGGCCCACGTACCGAAACAAACAAACAAACAAACAAAAAAAACACATAAATTTACTCTCTTACAGTTCTGGAGGTCAGACGTCTGAAATCATTTGCACTAGGTGAAAGTCAAGGTGTCAGCAGGGCTGGTTTCTTCTGGAGGCTCTGAGAGGACAGTCTGTTTCCTTGCTTTTCAGCTTTCACCTGTGTTCTTTGGCTTGTGGCTCCTTCTATCTTCACAGTGCACCAATCTCTGCTTTCATCATCACATCACCTTCTCTTCTGGCTGTAGTAAAATCTCCCTCTGCCTCGTCTTATAAGAATACCTGTGATTACATTTAGGGCCCATCTGGATAATTCAAGTTAATCTCCCTATCTCAATATCCTTAACTAATCACAGCAGCAAAGTCCATTTCGCCATTTAAGATAACATTCACAGGTCCAGGAATTAGGATGTGGATATATTTGGGGGCTGTTATTTAGCCTACCACACACAGACAAATAATGATTCCAATTCTTAATTTTATTAGCTTTCCTTACCAAAACTTTACCAGAGTTGCTAATAAGTAGAAGTAATTCTTTAATTTCATCTTCCTTTCCCCATTCCTTGAAGGCACCAAAGAGTAATAATCATAAGGCAGGCAAATAAAAGAAGTGGAAAAGAAAATAGACAGGGACACATTAAAGTTGAGTGATCCTTTTTCTTTTTCTTTTTTTTTTTTTCTAATTTTTCAGAATAAGATAACCTAACAACTTTAAATTTTCTAATAGCATTGTCTATCATGTGGGTCCTTGGGAAAAATGGTATTTAAAGATGTTTCTCTAAATGTATTTCTGCTATTTCTGTCATGAGATAGCTCTCTGTATATATCCTACAGACTGGTCTGTTTGTCTTTTTTTAATGCCACAGGTAGCAGATGTCCTTCAATTTTCCATGGAAACAGGCGGCTTTCTTCCAAACTGCATTAGTACTTTACAGGAGAGTTTAATCAGACACCTTAAAATAGCCCCTAAATATCTCTCCTTTCTGGAAGAGAGACAAAAACGGATTCGGGTGAGTATTAACGTATGTCCCATATAACATTAATATTTTCAAGTGTCTTGTGAGTGGGATTATCAGCATATTATATAGAGAAATGACAGCTGCTGTGTAAGTGTATGAACATTGCCAAAATCTTAGTTGTTCCAAATGGGAACAGTTTGTTTGTGGTCTCAAGTGGAAAAAAGCCAGCGTCCAGATTTGTTGGTTATCAATTAAAAAGTACTCTGAAATAAATTTTCAATTGGACAAGTGGGGATTTTATTGGGAATTTGGATTAAGGCAGTGGAACAAAAATCATGCCAATTATTTCTCCCAAAGTAAGATAGATTTTCTTCAGCTTCTAATAGCCTTGCATGCAAACTTAGGTCATGACTGTATTGGCTGCAATTTTGGCCATATAATCTAATCAGTCCTGCTGCCTCCAGTTTTGAATGAGAAGCCCTGATCTCTCTCTCTCTCTTCTTCCCTCCCTCCCTCCCCACATCTTTCCCCCATCACATACACACACTCACTGTATACACACAATAAGTGTGTGTATGTGTATGTGTGTATATTCTCAGAAGGCTAGCCATAGTGTGAAAGTAGAAGGTAATAATTGAAGAAAATGACAGTAATGGTGATTTAAGTTAAGCAGCCCTTAGATAAACCATTATTTTCTTTAAAGATTTGCTTACTATTCAGAGAAAATTGTTTTGGTGTCTCTAGGAAAACCCAGAACTATGGTTCACACGACCTCTTTCACCCTCTTTGCTAAAAATTTTGGCCTTGGAAGCTACCTACCTGCTGCCCCTTCGCTTGGTACTCCTAGATGAAATGATGTCTGATCTAACTACCCTGGTGGACGGGTACCTAAACACCTACCGAGAAGGGTCTGCAGACTGGCTGGGAGGCATGGAGGTAGGTGCCACTCTCTGTGGCTGTGTTTTCAGGACCTCTGTGTCCTCATGGGGGCCACAGTGATACCCACTGTTCACAGCTGCACCAAATTTCTTTCAGCAGACTTGATGATAAATATTCTTGAAGCGGCTATAGCTTGGGCTTAATTCAGCTCCTTAGCACTTTTTTTCTATATATATATATATATATATATATTTTATGATCACTGACATTTATTTCATATGATGCAACTGGTGATGGGCATTTCAATAAAACTAAAAGTTGATGTGCTAGAAGTCCTAACTCCTTTCTTAAATATTGTACCAATTTTCTCACAATATTAAGTTATGTTTCCAGTAAATATATCTTTCAAAGAAAGGGTAAATTTCATTAGTTATTTTTATGAAGCCAGCACAATATAAGAAAACTTATATTGTTGGCAAACTATTGCATTAGGCCAAATCTGGCCCATGGCCTATTTTTGTAAAGCTCACAATCTAAGAATGATTTTTATAGTCTTAAAGGATTGTTAAAAAAAAAAAAAGTATGCTTGTGGCTTACAAAGCCTAAAATGTTTACTATTTGACTCCTTACATAAAAAGTTCACAGGCTACTGCTATAAACAGTTCTCATTTAGGAATACTGATGCAAAATCCTAAATAAAATAATAGCATTTTTGTACAAACTCCACTTAGATATATTATACTTTTCTATTAATGTGTCTCTCAATTCTAGTTACAAGCATGGTTTAATATTATATTAATATTTATTAATATTTAATATTATATTAAATTCTGTATTTTATTGGGGCCAAGAAAGTCTTATGATTATCTCATAAATGCTGAAAAAGTTATTTTGTAACTTTTTTATATTTTGCTCTCACTGTTTAACAAGAAAAGATCAATGTAAAAATCCTTTCATAGTTTGCTTGATTGGAGAATTTTAATGTTTTTCATTTATCATTGTAAAGCCAAGGACAATTTTTTAACTTTTTAATATTTTGTTCTCACTGTTTATTGCTGAAAAAATTTGATAATATTCTATATACATTATTGATTAAAGTTGGAATAGGTACTTTAACATGATAAAACATATATCTCAGGCAAGAAGACTACCTAATATTTGATTGGGAACATCAATATCAAGAAATATACAGAAATGGTGACTATCACCACTACTTTAATACAGAAATGGTGACTATCACCACTACTTTAGTAGTTTCTGAAGCTATTAGCCAGTGAGGTTAGAAAAAAAAAGATGAACTATAAAAATTGAACAGAAGGAATAGGAATGATGACTTGCCTATGATATACCTGAATACTGAAGAGAATCAATTGAAAAAGATTGCCAAAAACAAAAAGGCAGTTTAGTAAAATGGGTACAAATATAACATAAAACTTAATAGCTTTCCTATATCCCCGTACACAACTACAGAATATAATGGGGGAAAAATTCATTTATAATTGTAACAAAAAATAGATTATCTAGAAATAAATCTAACAAGAAATGTGGAATATAGAGATGAAAAAAATGTTAAAGTATTACTGAATGGCATAAAAGAGGACTTAAATGAATGGGGACATTAAGTATTTTTGGCAATCAGTTATTCCTAAATTAACTTTAAAAGAATTAGTTTATTTATTATTTATATTTTTGGTTGCATTGGGTCTTTGTTGCTGTGCACGGGCTTTCTTTAATTGCAGCAAGCGGGGGCTACGCTTCGTTGTGATGCGCGGGCTTCTCATTGCGGTGGCTTCTCTTGTTGTGGAGCACAGGCTCTAGGTGCGGGGGCTTCAGTAGTTGTGGCATGTGGGCTCAGTAGTTGTGGCTCACGGGCTTAATTGCTCCACGGCATGTAGGATCTTCCCAGGCCAGGGCTCAAACCCGTGTCCCCTTCTTTGGCAGGTGGGTTCTTAACCACTGGGCCACCAGGGAAGCCCCCTAAATTAACTTTTAAATTTAACTTTCTTTTAAGAAAAATGCTAAAGCCATAATTACTTTGGCAAACTGTGATTATAGTGTTTATAGAGATAAATAAGCATAAATAAGAATAGTCCTGTCAGATATTAAAACATATGTCTACACTAAATATGAGCGGTACATGTATAGGCAGATCGATGGAATAGAGAACCCAGAAATAGATCTCATATATATCAGTAATGGTTGAGATAAAGGTAAAATTTCCAATCAATGAGAAAAAGATAAGTATTTGGTAAATGGCCTCAGGCAATTGACTAACCATTGTGGGGGAGGAGAATCAGAGTTGGATTGTTATCTCTTTCTGCTACACCAAAATAAATCCCATGGATCAAGTATTTATGTAAGAACTAGAATTATAAAAGTATTGAAGGGGCTTCTCTGGTGGTGCAGTGGTTGAGAGTCCGCCTGCCGATGCAGGGGACGTGGGTTTGTGCCCCGGTCCGGGAAGATCCCACATGCCAGGGGAGCAGCTAGGCCCATGAGCCATGGCCGCTGAGCCTGCGCGTCTGGAGCCTGTGCTCTGCAACTGGAGAGGCCACAACAATGAGAGGCCCGCGTAAAAAAAAAAAAAAAAAAAAGTATTGGAAAAAAAGTATTGGGACTTCCCTGGTGGTCCAGTGGCTAAGACTCTGCACTCCCAAAGCAGAGGGCCTGGGTTCCATCCCTGGTCAGGGAACTAGATCCCACATGTGGCAGTGAAGATCCCATGTGCTGCAACTAAGACCCAGTGCAGCTAAATAAATAAGTAAATAAGTAAATAAATATTTTTAAAAAGTATTAAAAGAAAATTATGTCACAGTAGGGAATATGTCCCCTCCCCCAACTTTACTGAGGAATAGTTGACAAAATTAATTGTGTATATTTAAAGTGTACATTGTGATGATTTGATATACATTGTGGAATGATTACCAAGATCAAGATAACTAACATCCATCACCTCATAGCTAACTTTTTTTTATGTAGTGAGAATGCTTAAGATCTACCCTCAGAAACTTTCAAGTATATAATACTGAACTATTAACTGCAGTAACCATGCTGTGCATTAGATCCTCAGAACTTATTCTTCTTATAACTGAAAGTTTGTACCCTCTGACCTACATCTCCCCATTTTCCTCTCCCTCAACCCCTGGGAACCCCCATTCTATTCTCTGTTTTTATGAAATCAGATCTTTGTTTTTGTTTTTTAAGATTTCATATATAAGTGATACTGTGCAGTATTTGTCTTTGTCTGGCTTATTTCACTTAGCATAATACCCTCCAAGTTCAAACATATTGTTGCAGATGGCAGGACTGCCTTCTTTTTTATGGCTGAATAATATTCTATTGTATAGAATATTGTATTGTATAATGTATATACATCACATCTTTATCCATTTATCTATTGATAGACACAGGTTGTTTACATATTGTGACTATTGTGAATTATGATGCAGTGAACAAGGGAATGTACATATCTCTTTGAGATCCTGTTTTCATATGCTTCAGATATGTACCCAGACGTGGGATTGCTGGACCATATAATAGTTCTATTTTTAATTTTTTGAGGAACATCCACGTTGTTTTCCACTGTTTTACATGGTAATGTAAATTGCATCAATTTACATTCCGATCAACAGCATATGAGTTCCCTTTTCTCCACATTCTCACCAACACTTGTTATCTGTCTTTTTGATAATAGCCATCTTAACAGGTGTCAGTAACACCTCATTGTGGTTTTGATTTGCATTTCCCTGATAACTAGTAACTTCGAGCACCTTTTCATGTACCTATTGGCCATCTAAATATCTTCTTTGGATAATTATCTATTCAGGTCCTTTGCTCACTTTTAAATTAGAGTATTTGCATTTTTGCTATTGAGTTGTATGAGGAAATGCTTTTCTGTGCAATACAGAAATACTCAGAACTCATAAAAGATGAATAAATATGACTTCAAAATTTTTGTATGGCGAAAATACTGTGAACAAAGTCAAAGGGAAAGCAACCTAGGAAAAATTATTTGCCTCATGTAACAAAGAGGACATTTTCTTAATATATTCTTTATTGTAGCATTTATGTAATGAAAAAATACTGAAGACAACCAAATATCCATCCACAAGGGTTTGGTTAAACAAACTATTGTATATCCATACAGCCATTAAAATTGCCAATATGGAAAAATCTCCAAGACAGAATTTTTAGTTGGAAAAATCAAGAAGAAGAAGAATATATAATATTATGTAGCCATTTGTATAAAATAATTTTAGAAAGAGTTATCAAAATAAAAAGTTGGGGGAAAATAAAAATTGAAAAATGTAATCCAATGAATAGATAAATATTTAGTAAGGGATCATATATGCAAAGACTGTCTCTGGAGGCTACAGAAGAAGCTGCTTTTTAGAGGATGCACCTGCTAAGGCAGTTGGGGCGAGGTTGGAATGGACCCTTACTTTTCATTGTATAATCTTTATACATACACACATGCACAACATACACACAAAATTGGATTAAAAATATTTAAATTACTTGAAAAATAGTACTACTATAGTTGAAGACACTAGAGGGTGCTATAAGAACACATTTGAATAGACCCTTGCTTGCCAAATACTAAGTGTAGTAGAAGTGATTTTAAAGTGATTTTAAGGACCATATTCAGAAGTTTAGTTATAGTAGACTTGTGTTCATTTTCTTTTCTTAGCGTAAATGTATGGAGCTCCCAGAGGAACTGCTTCGACTGAAGGACTTCCAGAGACAGCGCAGAGAGAGAGCTGCAAAAGAATATAGAGTAAATGCGCAGGGACTCCTAATACGGACAGTACTACATCCAAAGAAGTCTATGACAGAGACAGCAGGGAAAAAGGGAAAAGTAAGAGGTTTCTTACTTTGTAAAAATTCTAGGCTAGATAAAGCTCCAAATTTTACATCTCACAAGGATGTAAATTTGCTAAAAGAAGAATCTAAGAGTAAGCAAACCACAGCGGAATCTCAACATCTACCTCCCATAAAGGAAGAAGTCAGTGAAGATTCCAGTAACAAACGAATTTGCCCTGAGTCAGAGGGGTTTAAGGACCAGAGAATAACTCTAAAAGAATACCTCAAGATACCTAAACAAGAGTTTCAGACAAATTTATCTTTGAAAGAGGAGATAGAACAGTTACTGATGGTGGAAAACAAGGAAGATCTAAAATGTACAAAACGAGATGTTTTAGTGTCTCCTTCCTTTCCTCAGGAAACCAGAGTGTCTCCAAGTGACATTTTTCATCCTTTTAGAAAAGCTGTGCTTCCCACACATCCTCCCTGCCCAGCTTTGGAGAAGACTGATTCCTGGATAAATCCAGATTCTCCCAATCTGCCTTAGAGATCTGCAGTTTGTTCTTGAGGCCAATAAAGGTGGCTTATTTCCTCTGCCATCAAGACCTTCCTCAGTGCTAAAGTTTCTTGTGCTGTAAATTAGTCACAGGCTTTGGGGGAAATTATATCCTCTTGCTTGCTCCTATATTCTTAGAATTTGATTAGGATGGGGATGAATAAGTTAAATAATGGAAGAAGTAAATGTTCTGATTATGTCACTGTGTAGAAATGTTCCCTGTGGCCAAACTGAATTATTTCTCATAATTTGGGTTTAAAGGATTTGAAGAAGGGAAAAATTTTGGACTTAGTGTCTGGAAGAATCTATACTTTAAATTTTTTGTTGTTTTTTCTGGTTTGAAGGATGTTGGTAAAACTCTTAGCCATAAGTTTAAAAATATTAGTACCTGACAACTTTACCTGTACTTTTTTCCTTTTTAGAATATTAACTTTGTCAATTATACCTCAATAAAGATGAAAAATATTAACTTTATTTTTGAATTTTAAATGTTTGGTCTGTCTTATGTCATAGACAAACAATAGTTTATGTTATTACAGGAATCAATATCCCAGTTTTAATTTCTTTTCATTCCATTTACTTTTAGAGAGTTTTGTCCATTTCCCTAACAAAGCAGGGCCTTCTTTAGAGTATGCCTATTATGTAAACTTGAAGTTTGATTCCACTATATTTGCCTGGAGTTGGTATGCCTTCTTAGGGTGAAAGGAAGGTAGCCTGTACTGAGCCCTTTTTATGTTGAATACTTGCAAGTTGCTCATTCTTTTGTGTATAATAACCAGTAAACCTGGTTGGTATTAGGTTATCTCTCACTTTTCTTCATTGGGTCAGGGTAGGAATAAATTGGAATGTGTCTGCATTTCTAGGTCTAGAATCCAGTGAGAAATCTGTAACTTTTTTTTTTTTTTTTTCCCGGCCCTGCACGGCCTGTGGGATCCTAGTTCCTTGACCAGGGATGGAACCTGGGCCACCTCAGTGAAAGCACCGAGCCCTAACCATTGGACTGCCAGGGAATTCCCTAGAAATCTGTAATTTGACTGTTATACAGGCCTCTACTACTTAGGGGAGACAGGGACAGTCTATAATTAGGAACATCCTTGTCTGTGCTCATTGATTCTATCATGAGTACCACGGAAAGAACAGCTGTGTCTTCCAAATCCCAGAGCCCAGATCTGGTCTAAGCTTAAGATGAAGGCAGGACTAAGAGCAGTCAGCTCAGCCCTGCAGTTGCTGTCCCTCACTTTGTCCATAGTTTAGAAGGTCATTGGAGGCCAAGGTGGTTTCTGGTTCATTCTGGGTGAATGTGTTTTCAGGTTGAGCCCAGAAAGTGGTTAATCTAGGTTTACTCTGGGAAGGGCATGAATTTCTGTGAAATTCATAGAACTGATTTAGCTTCTTATGGAACCGTACCACACACAATTTTTATACATACATACATGTAAATATACAGGCTACAAAGAAAAATGTGACGTTCTTCATATTAAAAAAAAGAGGATTCTTCTTTCATTATGTATTTTGTGACTAATAAAGAACAGGATTCTGTTGGACCTTTGCTGTACTGCTCAATATGGTAGTTATATGTGGCTATTGAAATTTAAAATTAAATGGATTAAAATGAAATAAAATTAAGAATTCAGTTCCTCAGTTGCACTTGCTATATGTCCAATACTCAATAGTTTCATGTACCCAGTGGCTACCATATTGAACATCACAGGTATAGAACATTTCCATCATTCCAGAAAGTTCTATTGGACACTGCTATTTGAGAAGTACTTTGACTCTCAAAACTAAATGAGCCTTCCGGGTTTCATCACAATATTTTCTTAGTGAAACGGTCACATAACTGGAACTGCATTTTTCTCCATATTCTCATTCTAGCCTGGAGTGCCTACCTAAATTCCATGTGCTCAGATCTAACCATGAACTTCTGTCCTTTGCTGGATAGAGTGAAAAAAAAATCGCTGGGTTCTTCAAGCCCTGCTGCTAGTGCTCTGTGCCATTACTTAGATTTCTTATCTAAATTTTGCTCAGATTTTGGAAAATCTTTGGTTCTTGACCCAACCAATTGTTGAGTTCTTACTCTATATTTTTCTAGTTGAGAGTTTATAAACCATACTGCCTGCTTTTCCAAACTCTTGGAGTCTTGCTTCAGTCTACACCGAATTCCTGCATCTGTCCTACTCAGGTCTGACCTTTCTGTACATGATCTGCAGTTAGAGATTCTCACAAGCAATCTGATCCTTTTAATTTGGGAATTAGGAAACAGAGTTAAATGACTTCCCTGAAGAAAAGTGCTGCACTGAGAATAGAACCAGTGTTTCTTACTTCTTGGTCCACTCAGTGTTCTTTCAACTATAGTATGAAAAATCATTGCAGCAGCTTTGCCTCCAGTCTGGCTGTGAGCTTGATAAAGCCTAACATGACACAATATAATTTTAATACACTGGGACTTCCCTGGTGGCACAGTGGTTAAGAATCCACCTGCCAATGCAGGGGACATGGGTTCGATCCCTGGTCTGGGAAGATCCCACATGCCGTGGAGCAATGAAGCCCGTGCACTGCAACTACTGAAGCCCGCGCACACTAGAGCCCACGTGCCACAACTACTGCAGCCCATGCACCTAGAGCCTGTGCTCTGCAACAAGAGAAGCCACCACAATGAGAAGTCTGTGCACCCCAATGAAGAGTAGCCCCGGCTCGCCACAACTAGAGAAAGCTCACACACAGCAACGAAGACCCAACGCAGCCAAAAAAAAAAAAAAGAATTTTAATACACTATAGCCCTGTCGTTGTTTTGACACAAGGCAAGTCACAGCAGCAAGCCAAGATAAGGCTTGGTGCATACTTGGGGAGCTGAGGGTGATTAGCCAGGTGTACTTATCAAAAAGGCATTTACTATAAAGGTAACATCAATAAATACCTTACAGGGCTTCCCTGGTGGCACAGTCGTTGAGAGTCCGCCTGCCAATGCAGGGGACACGGATTCCTGCCCCGGTCCGGGAAGATCCCACACGCCATGGAGCGGCTAGGCCCGTGAGCCATGGCCGCTGAGCCTGCGCGTCCGGAGCCTGTGCTCCGCAACGGGAGAAGCCACAGCAGTGAGAGGCCCGCATACCGCAAAAAAAAAAAAAAAGATAATAATAAATAAATAAATACCTTACAGAAAAATTTAGAAAATAATGAGAAAAAACACTCAACTATCATCCTACATTATACAACCCTTCCTAGCATTTTGGCACTTTTCTTTCAATTTTTCCTCTCTCATTCTCTATCTCTCTACACACACACCATCACAACCATACCGTAAATACATTTATTGTGTTTTTTATATCAAGTATTTCTCCATTTTATAATCCTAACAACCAACATTTTAAACAGATGTTTCATTTTTAAATTAATGTGCTATTAAATAGAATTTGGAAAATAGAGGAAAATAAGAAAAAATTTACTCATTTCTCTAACCCAACAGAAAAATCAGGTAATATTTTTGTTAATGTCAGTGTTTATGCATAGATTTTACCCTCTACATAGTTATATATATACACTCTACTTTATGAATGTTTTCCTATGCTGTTATACGCTCTTTGTGAAGATATTAAAAATATATTTTTTTAAATTTATTTTTGGCTGCGTTGGGTCTTCATTGGTGCGCGTGGGCTTTCTCTAGTTGCAGCGAGCGGGGGCTACTCTTCCTTGTGGTGCACAGGAGGTGGCTTCTCTTGTTGTGGAGCTCTAGGCGTGTGGGCTTCAGTAGTTGTGGTGTGCAGGCTCAGTAGCTGTGGCTCACGGGCTCTAGAGTGCAGGCTCAGTAGTTGTGGCACACGGCCTTAGTTGCTCCGTGGCATGTGGGATCTTCCCGGACCAGGGATAGAACCCATGTCCCCTGCATCGGCAGGTGGTTCTTAACCACTGTGCCACTAGGGAAGTACCAAGATTTTTTCTTTTTCTGCACGGCTTGTGGGATCTTAGTTCCCTAACCAGGGATCAAACCTGGGCCCTCAGCAGTGAAAGCGCAGAGTCCCAACCACTGGACCGCCAGGGAATTCCCAAGATTTTTATGACTACATAATATTTCTAAGCGGATACACCATGGTTTACTTAGCTCTGTTTTGGTATATTCAGGGTGTTTCCATTCCTTATTTCCTGCATTTTCCATGTTTTGAATCATTTTGTCAGAATGAAATTCCAGAAGTAGGTCAAAGAGGTTTTCTTGGTTTTGTTTTTTACAGCTCTTGCTAAGTTACTTTTCAAAAGTGTTAACCAATTATATTGCCACTCCAATTTTTATAGTAATGATGCACCATTGAGAGCATTAGATTTTTTTCTTGAGAGGCATTGCATGTTTTTGACTTTCAAAATTCTAACTTCTTTATCCATAAACCTGAAAGGTTTCCTGTCATTTTTTGTAACTTACCTGCATTAGATACCATGAAGATTAATGAAAACATACATACTGGGAATATTTGAATTCTGATAAATGTCCCTGATCTCTAAGTAAGGACATTATTATGGGTAAAATATTTTAATCATATAAACCCTAAAATAAAACCAAAGTCTATATACTCATGATGAAAGACATCTTTGAAATGTCTTGGAACTCTCATCAGGGATGTCAGAGAAAATGATATTTATTGTTATACGAAATGAGAAAGAATCTTAGCTAAATTGCTAGGTTTACCCTAAGACAAAACTTAATACATTCTATTCCACATACTCAACAGGAGTTGAGCCTGTAACTCTATAATTTAGTAGATCTCCTTAAACATGAAAAGCTGTCAAGTTGTAATCAGGGTATAATTAGCAACCCAATCTTAATATATATATTGCAAATAAAAAATGTCAAAAAAAATGTCGAAACTATGCTTCAATTTAGTCAGTCATGAACAGCATTTCTTAAACAATGGAATAGTATAGAGAATATCAGAGTGTGTTATACATAGTAAAGAAAAGTATCATTTTGTGAAACTTTTTTTTCTCTGTTGTATGCTAGAGTATGTGTACTTTTACTATTGGTTGCAGTAAAAAGCAGCTCAAGATAAGCATAGAAGGAAACTTATATCTTTAAATACTTACACAATAAAACAAGAAAGGTCTAAAACCAGTGATCTCAGCTTCCATCTTAAGCTAGAAAAGGAAGAATAAATTAAACTTGGGCTAAGTAGGATGAAACAAATAATGATAAGAATAGAAATCAACGGGCTTCCCTGGTAGTGCAGTGGTTGAGAATCTGCCTGCCAATGCAGGGGACATGGGTTCGAGCCCTGGTCTGGGAAGATCCCACATGCCACAGAGCAACTAGGCCCGTGAGCCACGATTACTGAGCCTGCGCGTCTGGAGCCTGTGCTCCGCAACAAGAGAGGCCGCGATAGTGAGAGGCCCGCGCACCGCGAGGAAGAGTGGCCCCCACTTGCCGCAACTAGAGAAAGCCCTTGCACAGAAATGAAGACCCAATACAGCCATAAA